ATATATATATATATATATATATATATATATATATATATTGCTCATTTCTTGACTTCTGGGAGCGGGTCCCTCAACCCTGCTGTTTTGCTGAAGTAGGAATGATTAAACTTCTTTGGGAGTTCCCATGACATAAGTGAACTGAGGTGGGGGGGGGGTGTTAGTTTAGTAAATTACTTAGCCCATTAGCCAAGCTAATGGTTTAAGGCCCAGTTTGTGGCTGGCATAAATAAATGTATAACCCTGAAGTTAATGGAGTTTGCCTACTTACTCCAGCAGTCAAGTTGGCGTTATAGGCTTCATTTCATGACTGACACTTGAGAAGGGCTCTCCACTTCCCTTACAAGATATTTTAAACTTTGAAGGAGAAAGTAATTTTCAAGCTTGTGCTGTGGAGTGAAGGTCAATATGAAAATGATTATTTAATCAACAATAGATGGGAAGATACAAATTCTTCTAAATGCAGTGTTACACAGTGAAAAAGGAACACATGGTTTCTCTGGAAATGCAAGCCAGTGACTAAACAAGACACAGCTTAGTGCAGCTTGTTTTTCTCTATGTTTGGAAAGGTATTTTGCTCCCTGACGTGTTGACAAGACAGTAGCGACAGCGTTTGCTATATTCTGCAACTCTTAAAGTCCCATTCAAGTCTTAAGAGGCCAGAATATAATCTACCAAATAGGATAGCTATCTTTCACTGCCTTGTTTTTATGTACGAGGACGGTTCAGAGAGAGGAGTGCTGACCCTCTGTAAGTGGAGAGGCTCTGATTATTAGCAGTCCTATATTAGTAATGTCATCAGTATGTCTATTAGGCAAGGCTTAGTTTACTCACCTAGGGCTCCGAGGTGGCCTACATTACACTTGACTCAAGGGTCTTGGTCATCTCATAGCTGCCCCTCACCTGGTTGCTAGTGTAGTTTATAAAGGGCCTTAGGCTGCAACAATGTTTGAAACTATTTTTAAACATGGCTACAAACAATAGTCTGGACTGTGCCTGGGGAATGGGTATTCCCAACTGCTAACCCAGGACTGATGTGTATGTGCAGGTAGCCAGCTATTTGCTGAACAAAATGTTCCTAGATTCCCTCAGACAGGGAAGGATGAGGCCATGTTTTTTAGTGAGAGGAGGACACCTGTCACTCCCTGTCTGGAAGCTGGTGGCATATCATTGCTCTTGCTGGCATATTCCTCTCAATGTTACTGAGGCATAGGAGAGATGGACACAGCCAACTAGGACAGCAATGAATGAATATGGAGAGAACATATGCAGCAATACACAGGGGAGAGCAAGGGTGTGTGTGTACAAATATGAGAGCAACCAAGCCCTAGAACTCTGTTGGGGTGGGGGGACTGGGGGTGATGGAGGGTGCAGGGAAGGAAAACCACAAGCACATAAGCAAGCTTGAGAATGTCTGAACACGTTCAGAAAGCGGAGTCTCTTAACTCGCTTCAGAAAGAATGAGCTATTGGGTAAAACAAGCCAGCCAATGCCTCCGAATTCCATGAGAAACAATTAGTTGATGGGCAAGTTCCTAAAAGCTGCAGCTTCACTGTCTGTCAGTGGCCTACAATTCCCCAGAGCTGCTGCCTTTCGGAGGTTTTACTCACACTTGTGTTTATCTCATGGAAGCCTCTCAGTCAGATTTCCCCCCTGCCCCCAATTTCTCTGGTTTCTTGTGCTAGTTTTGTGGTCAAATTTAATCTCTATTTATGCAGCCAAACTATTGCAGAAAGACTTTGCTTTGTCCTAGATTCCCTCTCTCAGCAGACCATAAGGCTAGTGCCTCCTCTGCTGGAGAACCACACTTTGTTTATGTTTTGTGCTGTGCTATGCCCAGACCCAAAAAAGGTTTTTTTTCCCCTCCTGCCTACTGTAGGCGAGTGTGGATAACATACTTTGCAGATGCTGTGTGGCTGATACTTTTGAGCCAGATGCTGAGATTAAATTATTCTGTGGTCAGTACTCCACACTCACCGTGCAGGAAACTCTCTCTCTCTCTCTCGCTCAGAGCTGGCAATGGATCTTTATTTCCTGAAGTGGCTGTTTTGAGATTTTCATCGAAGGCTTTACAGCTGCAGCTGTTGTATCTTTAAAACCTATTTAGTTTCACACCTGTGTGCAAACAGTAAATATGCTGCATTGGTAATGAGGCCAATACATTGTTACACTGTCTCAGTTTTGGGGAAATGCCCATTTAATCATCTCCCATACATCCTTCCTCTAAATCTTCCTCTGCTGTGAAATCTACAAATTACTCCCATCTGGCATTGGGTAGGCAAGGGGCAAACTCTGACTTCTGCTGATGTGTTAAACTTTGTTTTATTGTTACTATCTCCTCCCAACCAACATCCACCCAATTTGTCTGTTTTGTACACCAGCGGCGTCCTGTATGACATGTAGATTGTGGCCTCTCTGGGGCTGGAGTTGTTTTACTTGTCACATGGCTGTAGACTGCCTGGCAACATGAAGTCCTGATCCTTGACTGGGGTTTCAAGGTGCTACTGTAATAGAAATAAATAATAATAAAATCTGTATAGAGAATTAGAGATTTATCCAAGCCCAGGGAGCCAAAATGTTTGACATTGAGGGTTGCCAAGGCAGCTCAGCAGGAGCTTGTAGGCTGAATCTAATTTGCATATGCATTTATTTACATAAATATTTTTGTCAAAAATAAATGTGCCGAGCTTTATCTTCCCTTGATAGATGAACAGATGTTGTTTGTTGGCCAAGTTCTCAAGCACTTAACATAATTCAGGTGATTGTCTTTGCTCCCTGCTGTTGGGGTCCACTAGGCATAGCTACCAGGTAACTCGGGAGAGTGGAAGGCCACAAGTGCCGATGAAGCTCTTTTGCTCTGGGCCTATCTGAACCCCCAAACTCCATCTTGTGAACTCTCACCTACTTCTGTGCTAACTGTTTACATGCTCTGAAGTAGGTTGAAGCAGAAATGTATTGGTCAGCTTTCTAGCAGATGGCTGCAGTTTCACTCACACTAGCAGAAATAATAGAGATAAGAAGCGGGGTAGTTAGTTTGCAGGCATCTAACTCAAGGTCGCAAAGACTGAGAAAGTTTTCTCACAAGCTTATGTAAAGCTTATTGTAACAGTTGTCTGG